TGCAACCCTCACTTTTTCCTCGGTGTGTCAGTCTGCAAAGTTTTTTCACTTCGTTTTTTTCTTTCTTTCCGCAAAAAACTGTTGGCGAATCAGCCATATTTTCGACCTCGAGACCTCCAGGAAATTGCGCTCAGGCGTAGTTCTCATGCAGTGGCTTCTAATGGTCGGATTATATCAACTGAAATTTCGACTTGGACTGCTGTAGTAGTAGTGAAAGCTATAATCCGTAATAAAGATCAGCCATATTTAAGATATGTTTATGTATTTTTTGCGAAAAGAAAGAAAAAAACGCGTATTTATACTACCTTCACCAAGTGACGTATTTATCCTTCTTTCATGAAGTTTTTCTTCCTTAAGTATGGTCAAGAAGGGAAAAAATTCGAAGTTATTCTAAGTGTGAAAATATTCGCAATTATATTATTATGTTTATTTAGCATTGTGCTAGATTTTGTAGAATTCCTGTGCTTTCCGACTTCGTATCCAGTCGGATCTTACAGAAACTTGTCTTTGGAATCATTGGTCTGGGAGGGCGACAGTAATTCGAAGTTGAAGCAGTATCTTTTTTCGGCTTTTTTTATCATCATCCCATAGAGCTTTTCAGGCGGATCAAGAATTTCTGGTTTTAGTTGCCTTATTAGTACAAGGTTTCAGTGAAAAAACTTCAGAACAACTCCAAGCGTCTGATTTTTCGAAAAAACCATTCCTCTATAAAAAAGAAGAGGGGGAGGGGGGCACGCGTATATTAATGGCCATCTACACGAAAACTTTCCGAAAACTAACACGTATATAATATATTGACCGTGCGAACAAAGAAAAAGATTACCATAGTGGAACTTCTTGTACCCAAGATGTTGGTCAAGATCTTGGCGAAGATCCTCGGTTAAGAAATTTCAAGATATTGAGTGAATCCACTCAAGATGTTGCAAGAGGAGAGTGACAAATTTTCTTTTCATTTTGTTTTTATTTTGACAGTCGACCATATAGAGTCGTAGATTCTACGTTTTCTTGACACAACGGGAAGAGCCTTAACTTTATGGGTACACTAACAATGTAATTACACAATAAAATTGTGTACTCCATAACTAGTGGAGTCTTACACTCTCTCTAAAGAGAGTGTGAGAGACAGGAACCACTAGAAAATGAACTAAAAAGAATAGGAAAAAAAAATCTAAGCCTATTTTTAGGCTTCAAACACTTGAAAACCGATCACATTCTGTCAAATTCAGGGAAATCCGATGCCTGGAACTCGAAAAGGATCCGGTCGGATCTTTACCGGGATGGAATCCGGGCGTCATGATTTCGAAATAATAATTGGATATACGAGCATATAGAGTCGTAGATTCTTCCTTAAACAAGTATGGTCAAGAATGGAAAAAATTCGAAGTTATTCTAAGTGTGAAAATATTCGCAATTATTTTTACACAAGAATGTAAAAGAAAACGATGATTCAAGAATTTCCAAGATCTTGGTACAAGAAGTCAAGGAATTACAAGATGTTCACGGTCTTGACTTCTTGAAATTTCTTGAATTCTTATATTTTTTTACCAAGATCTTGAATCAAGATCTTACCGAAAAAATTCAAGAAGTCAAGATCTTGGTTACAAGAAGTTTCACTAGGGTACGCATAATTATTACGTTATTTAGTTCTTTATAACGATAACGAAGACTAGCGAAAATTTTGTTCATGAGAAGGTCATGAAAATGCTCCTGGACAACCTTCTTATCAACCTAGTCATTTTGGATTCATTTGGAAAATTGCCAAATGAATTGTGAAGAAGATGTGTTTTCTCAATTAGATACATAGGAAAAGACAAACTGTTCAATGACTTTGTTCAGTGGCTGATAAGACAGTAAGTATGATATTCATTGCTGATTGATGTTAATGAAATAGTAGTCGTAGATGATATTGAGATCATTGATATGCAACGGGTAATACACTGCAATGAAAAGGTAGCCTCGTAGACGTCACAATTTTATGGTCCACTGTGTGTCATATCACTTGTATCTTTCTTTTATAGAGGGTGATACTCATGTACTTTTTAATGTACTCAAGACCTATCGTACCTGCTCTATCGCATAAGAATGTACCTCACGCAGATGACTCTTTTGATGATGTACAAGATCAAACTTGAACTTGAACTTGAAAGTTTATTTTATGCCCAAGAAAACATCTTGTAACAAAGAAAAACACAGAAAAACCAAAGGCTTGTAAATAAAGTGCCACCACGTGGAAAAGAGAACAACCGCGAAAAGATAGTATAGAAGAAGAAAACAACAACATAAAACAACACACTTATAAGGATAGGTGAGCGCGTAAGGCTCGTTTGAAAGTAGGAATTATTTGACAAGATACAACGGTATGTGGCAGAGAATTCCAGTCAACAGCAGTACGGTAGAAAAAAGAAGCTACGTGTTTTTTCGATACTGTCGGTGTTTCAGTCTGCATACTGTTCTGACGGTTACTATTAAAACGATCTGATCTTTTGTCTGCTAATGGTTTTATAAAGGGTGGATCAAAAACGCAGAGAAGTGAGAGAAAATTTTTAATTTTGAAAAAATGTAATAACCGAAAATACTTCCTCCGTGTGGATAAATCTGGCAACTTTAGTTTGGTGATCAAAGAGGTTACCGAACCATCAAACTTTTTAGAGATCATACGAGCAGCTAATTTAGTAATTTGATCTAAATCTTCTTTACACCATTTACTATCGTAAACTACACTAGCGTAATCTAGCCTACTCAAAATACATGCTTTAAAAATGTTGTCTACCACGCAACAGTACCAGTGCGCACTACGAGATAGCTTATATTTAAAAATAATTAATTACAAACTATCTTGAATATGTGAAAATATGTCACTAGGATATTCAAAGTAAAGTACTTTTGATACTCAAATACCGAATAATATCTGGCAAGGATATTTGGGCGAGTATCTAAAAAAGTACTTTAAGTATCCAATTACACAAGTTTCTTGGGTGCTTGTAATATTATTGGTAGCAAGGCATCCGGGTTGTCGTCTTTAGGTATGACAGACGAAAATGCGTATAAAAATAATGGAATAGATGTATATAAATAATAAAAATTCTAAAAAGTCCATTACCAAAATCAGGAGGAAAAAAGAAGATACAATATTTATATCTGATCAAAAGACTCATATGGTGAGTTCTTTCGATTCAGAAAAGTATGGATGGTTCTATAGCGTTGCTCAGGTGAGTTTAACAAGTTGCTTACAACATGCATAGAGGGACCTATAAAGATATTTTATTCTAACATAAAAAAATTGAAAATACCCTGTTTTTTTTGTTTTGTTTTTTTGATTATGCTTTATTGCCACACTCGGAAGCGCTTGCAAACAAAAGGAACCAAGGAAAAAAGATATAGTTGAACCCATTACAACATTTTAGTTACATAAAATTAATAAAATATAAAAAGACATTTTCTTTTCTCACCAGCAGAGGACATCATTAACATATGTACTAGAACGGTTTACAGGGATAAATTTATGCAGAAATAAACACGAGGGAAACAGCAAGGAAAAAAAAAATATTTAACTTTATCCAATAAAGTTCAGCCATTTCAGCAGTAATGATTCATGTTTTTCAATTTTAATTTTTACTCGTTTTTGCTGAAAAAAGTGGTCCATTTCATCTTTTTTTCTCTTTTTAAAATTGTTCCAATAAAAAACATCATTATAGAAAAGTGAGAAAACGAGGTCAGATTTATGCATACTATCCAGCCTTTTCTTTAAATATTTTTTTACATAAAACATTAGATCATTTTCTTTTATAAATGAGAATAGATTTTTACTGGAAACGAAATGGCATCGGTGAATAAGGCGAATACCGACTCTGAATTTTCTAAGAAATAAATCTTTCTGTGACTGAGGGAGGAAAGGAAAAAACGGAAACATCCAAGCGAAATACGGAAATGAGTATGCAAAGAAACAAAGCCGCAGTACATCAGTGGACACTTCTCGGTTATTTTTTAACCACTTGAGTTTCCCATAGGATCTTTGTACATTTTCTAAACAATTGCTTACGGTATATCTCAGCGATAATTTTTCCGTCCAAGTGAAACCTAAATACTTGAAGGCTTTAACTTGTTCTAATCGTTTATTATTCATGAAAATATTTATGTGAGGACGTGTGACCTGTGTATGAAAAAGTTGTATTACTGTTTTTGCGACATTTATTGGCTGTTTCCAACGTTTGGAATAGCGCGCTAACTCATTACACACTTTTGTTCCTTCGTTTCTCATGTATTAGTAATATCTGTTGAAATCGATTACGAGAGAGGAAGGTTGTAGAACTGTTTAAACTCATTTGAAGACTCTTCCTTTTTGATTCATTTAAAATTCATTACAGTGACGTTTCGCTGTAGAATACAGCTTCTTCAGACTTTACAGAACAATTGGACTAACTATAAAAACAATATTTTACATACACTATATAGAGATAACAGAGAGAGAGAAAAAGCAAAACAAACCTTTCTTTTGTACAATTCTTTTTCCTTCTTCAACTTCTTAATAGTGATACGGAACAAGGCGGTATAGTGACAGACTGGATGAAATGAACATTTCCGTATCACTATTAAAAGGAGTGGTCTGCAATACAAATAAATTTGTCCAAGAAATTTCTGATATTCAATTGCAAGAGGAAGACAGACTTGCTAGTTTAGACATTTGTGATTTATTTACTAATATTCCTGTACCAAAAGCTATCAATATTGTTATCGATCGATTGGTGAAATCAAAATAGTTAGAAAATTCAAAATTATTTAAAACTGACGTGAAAAATCTCCTTGAATTATCTTTGAAAAATAGTTATGTGAAATTTAATGGAAAATTTTATAAACAAGCTAAAGGATTACCTATGGGAAATACATTAAGTCCTCTAGTAGCCGATATTTATATGAATTGGTATATGAAAGAACACCTACAACAAGTGCAATTACCAAAAAGAATTTTTCACTAAGTAGATGATATTTTGATAATTACAAAAATGCAAGAATCTGAGTTGAAAGATTATGTGGAAATTTTGAACACAATCACAGAAACAATTCGATTCACGTATGAATATGAGAAAAATTCTAAAATTAATTTCCTTGATACAACTGTAAAAAGAGTTAAATCAAATGGTCAAATGACATTAAGTGTGAGATGGTTTCGAAAACCTACAGCAGCAGATCATCTATTGAATTATGAATCAAGCCATAGTAAATCAATAAAATCTAATATAACTAAAAATATGACAACAAGAATTTTGCAGGCAACAAAAGATGGCAGTGAGCAAAAAGAGGATCTGGAAATATTGAAGCAGATGCTATTGAATTCGAAATATCCTGTAAAACAAGTGGAAAAATTAGTTCAAGAGGCCTGTCAGTCTGGCAATGGTAATAGCAATTCATTGAAGAAAACAGATGATTTTAAATTTAGTTTAAGTCTTCCTTATGTACCAGGCATTGAAGTTCTTAAAAGACGTTTGGAAAAGCTGAAGGTCAAATTATACTTTTCTTATCCTTCCAAATTACAATCTCATTTCAATCGTAACTTGAAAACACCTTCTAGAGCAGTCATTTATCAGATCCAATGCGATTGTAATCCTTCGAGAATATACAGCGGTGAAACAAAAGTTGATTTTGAGAAAAGAGTTGGTGTGTATATATATATAGCACTTTAAGTTAATCAATAACTTAGACGAAAAATCAGAAATAGTTCAACACCAAGTCACAAATAATCATCAGTGTCTGTTTGACACAGACAATGCATTTATTGTTGACCAAGGAAAACATTATAAAAAGAGAAAATTCAAAGAAGCTGTCTATTCCTTGGTTAATGTTTCTATGAAACAATTAGTGAAATATGGAATCCTATTTTGCATAAAGCAAAAAAGCAGATTTTAAGAAAAGTAGAAGTATGTCGTGTACAAAATAAAAAGAGCTAAGATTAAGGAGCAAGGCGGTAATAGTGATACGGAAAGGTTCATTTCATCCAGTCTGTCACTATACCGCCTTGTTCCGTATCACTATTAAAAAGTTGAAGAAGGAAAAAGAATTGTACAAAAGAAAGGTTTGTTTTGCTTTTTCTCTCTCTCTGTTATCTCTATATAGTGTATGTAAAATATTGTTTTTATAGTTAGTCCAATTGTTCTGTAAAGTCTGAAGAAGCTGTATTCTACAGCGAAACGTCACTGTAATGAATTTTAAATGAATCAAAAAGGAAGAGTCTTCAAATGAGTTTAAATCTGTTGAAATCATGACGACAATTTGCCAGACTCATTACAATGTCTGCAAAAAAACAACAGTTGATATAAGAAGAATACATTTGAGGTAAAACTCTCGAAGGAGATATATAGCATTGATTAAATATTGATTTGTAACAAGAACCTTTCGAATGATTGCTTGAAAACGTTCAGTTGCTATATGATATTCTTCAGTCTAACTTACTTTGCAAACTTTATTTGAATCAGAAGTTTGTGTAATTACGATCCTAGCTGACGTATTCTTCTGTATAATTGAAATCTATCAGGTAGATATTCAAGACAGCTGAATGCTTCGGGCCTGTGGTGTAGGAAACCTGTAAAAGCATGATTTTATTGATAACATTATAAAGTAAATATCGTATACAAGAAAAAAGTAGACATAGTACTGTTCGTATCAGACAGTTTTGTTCTAAGAAATTAGAAAAACTATTTAATTTAACCGCCAATATATCATCAGACAGTATGGAGACATATACCGATCGATATATGCTTCCCATTCGGGATATATATCCCAATCAGGATACAGGAGGTGTTCCCTTACTGTCAGATACTTTCTCCTTATTTCTACAAAAAAACAGATAAGAATAGCGAGAGCGATAGTAATTATTTTTTTGAAATAATTTCCCTCGTACTATGTTAAAGTAATATTGCCTGATGATCTATTAGTTCAGAAGTGTTTTCAATGATGTTATTTTATTGTCAAAACTTTTATATTGTTATATGGCTGATGCAGAATGGAATAAGTAATAACAACTATGATCAATCTAATGGATTTAGAAAGAATTATGATGGTAGTGATATATATTTTTTTCAATACTTGTTCAATTCATGTGAGTATCTTGTTGAAGTCGAACAGAAAATACTAGATGTTTAATGAGTTCTTTAAGAATGTATGGTTGATTTTTAGTAAATAAATCAATATTTAAGTCTTTCCAATCATTCCTAGAAAAAATATGCGATGTCTTAAGGTTAAATTATTTGTATTAAAACTGCTGTCATTCGTTTCAGCTCGATTTGCATGAATATTAACTTATGTAACTAGATTCATTTTAAGTCAATTGCTGTCATTCGTATACATTAACCAGTTATTGTTAGATGTAGAATAAAAGCCAGTCTTTTGTCTGAACATGCAAAAGTGTTCTGTAAATTGGTCGTTTTATTATTTATCTTAATAGAACATATAATGCAACATAATAAAAACGAGTAATAATAAAAAAAAGGGAGAGAGAAAAAAAAAGCCTTTTCAGGTCTATTTTTTATCCATATACAGAGATATTTTGTCTGTCATGTTCTTATATTTGTAGTATATATATAATTTCGAAGAACTTCGTTAAAATCGTATCTGTCGGTAATAATTAAAAATGATTATAGAGATAAATCTAAACGAAATGTAAATAGTATTAAGAACAAGCATTCGATCAACCTCTCTCTTAGATAATAAATGAAATCCATCTGCGATAATAAAAATATTCATATATACGTTATATACAATATATTCATTATAGATTGTCTATTCTTTTAATCGTCATCTCGTGTAACTATAATATAGAATTGAGTTATTTTAACGCAAATAATATATGTTCTAAAAATCGTATTATCAACTTCAATCTTGCTAGTAGAATGATGATTTGTACTTTTTAAAATTAACTTTTATTTATCCATATTTAAATCTATTTTCAACAAATCAATAAAGTCGTAGTCAATAAGAAATATTAATATTATTTATTTGCTATGATTCTAATTGCTTTTTATCATTTTTTTTTGTTTAACAGAGATTTGTGACAATTTAGGATAATTGGTAATCGGTACTTTACCGTCGGCATCGGTAAGATAAACCGCGATACCAAAGGAGTAAATAATATTATCTTACCAATATTTGTGTCGGTGATTTTCTTGTACCGAATATATTTAATGAAGCAAGAATACCAATACTAAGTCAAATTACTCGTCTGTTAGTATCAATTTCAGAGATTCGGGATATCTAGATGTTCAATATAAAATCGTGATAATCTCAAAATTGATTGGTTTAGTTATGTTTCAAAATATCAAACTCTAGTTAATTCAAACAGACGATATTTTAGAATAGAAAAAGCGCAGTAAAAAAACCAACATAAAAAAAATAAATTGTTTTGAACTGTTGTTTATAATTGGGCTTGTTTATTTGCTTTTTTTCTAAAGAAAACAGAGAAAAAATAAACGTGAGATGATTCACAAATAGACAGCTAATGTAGATTGAAATGTATAAAACATATTTTTTGTCACTGTATACTTTTACCACAAATGTGTAGATCTGACACATCGATAAATAGTAGGTAGAAAATTAAGTTCTAATTAAGATTCTAGATCTCCATCTGAGATAATGTAGGTTAACAGAAACAATGTAGTTGTCGTTATAATGACTTGTCTTGTGTATCATTAATTTCTCCGTTATGTTGTTTTACACTTGTTGTTGAAAACAAAACAAGTCTTTTGGACATTGATAGAGTACCATTTGTAGAATTGAATAAACATCTATTATTATCGTCATCAAGAGAGTAGAGAGAGGAGGAGAGAGAGAGAGAGAGAGAGCGAAAATGCACTTCTAAATATAGGAAATATTTGTCATTCACATGAATGAAACAATACAAGACACATATCTATGGTAGAATGGTTTTTTCTACATAAAGTGAATTGTTGATTATTTCCTTTTCCTTTTTCTCTTATTGTTATTTGACATAACAATTAGTAGCTTTACAACGGCGATAAGTTATACCATTATGGAGTCAAAACTATTAAAGACATCATTAATTTTTGTTCGAATTCTTCACTCATATAATATCCTATTTGTTATTTTGTTGTTGTTTTTTTCCACATGATATAAATTGTATGTATTTATTCATTATTCTAATTTAATTATTAATATCGGCTTTTACTTTTCTTTATCTTTCGTGTTATATTAACCTTGAAATACTAATATTATAATCATTACTATTTCCTGTTCACTGAATTTACCCAGCTCATTTTCGTTTATGATAATTATTTGCTGAATAATTATCGGTTTTTTCACCCAAAAAAAAATTGACTTGTATTGACATAATTCAATGGTAAGTTTCATTCTTTAGCTGATGATCCATACTAAACTCGATGATTTTACCGTTCTTTTCTTGTTTATCATTTTATTTTACAATCATTTTGGACATTATTTTTTACCACAAATTTTTCTACTATCAATCGTTCGAGCTACGTTATATATAATCGTATATCAAATATTTTTTTTATATAACAGCCGTTATCTTAAACTATTTTTTTTCTAAACATGTAAACTTTTTCATTAAAAAAATATAGAGATATTTTATTTACTTAAACTTTTTACCGTACTACTTCGTTTATTTAGATATTATCATAGGTTATTCGCTAATTTAAAAAAAGAAAGTAAATTTAAATGACCACCAAAGAAAAACTGAAAAGCTGCGGTCGATGGATTTGTCATTCTTTCGATATTTTGAAAGCAATAATCATGCGTTTGATATTTGCATTACATGCATCGATTGCTATCATGAGAGTTGTTATTACAAAAGGAGATTACTGGTATTTGTTAAATTTATGTGGTGTCAATTTTCTTCTTATTGAACTTATTGTCACAATTGTTAAGCGAAAAGGTTTGACATATATTTCTATCTATATCATCTATAGAACAATATTAATCAACGACACATATTTTCTCTTTTAGGAAAAGAACCAAAATGGTAAATATTTTTACTTTCACATTCTTTCATTAATTAAACTGATTAACCTAGACATCAATTCTTATATAAGAATTAGATAGGGATCTAGTAAAGATCTTGCCAGGTTCTTATTTGCTTTTGCTAAGAATCTTATCCGATTCTTATCAGATTCTTATATAAATGGCACGACAGTTACACGTATTTCGTAAGAATCAGATAAGAATCGAATAAGAATCTTATAAGAATTTCATAACAAAGTGATGAGAATTCTTATTAGTTTCTTATTGAGGTCTTATGACATTCTTACAGCAAAATTTTTTCTGACCACTCACGATGGTTCACTCAGCAATTTTCTTGAGTTTTAAACAATAATGAACAAAAAAAGATTTTTTAAAAAGATTGGTCCGTTCAGGGTTCAAACCTGGTGAGTTGTTCATGACAATCCATGTGTTCTCCTAGTATTGAGATACTGCGGACACATTTATATATAAATATCACGTCTTTATATTCTGTCACAAAATCTTTTTCAACTTAAGTGATGCATAGTATTTTGAGTATGGAAATGGTATGTATTACAATGGAATATAATTTAGTGCACGGAAATTTTAAGTTTATGACAATGGATTCTAAACATAAGACTGCATTATTAAAATTCTTTGACTTAACGAAAATCTATGAAGAAAAAGTTATTTCCATGAAATCTTATTAGAAAGAAATGAATAAAGAATAATTCTTGTAAGAATCTAATAAAGGATTCTTATCACTTTCTTCCGAATTTCTAGTAAGATTCTTACTTGATTCTTATCTGATTCTTACGAAATTCGTGCAACTTTCGTGTCACTTGTTATATAAGAATCTGGTAAGAATCCGATAATATTCTTATCAAAATTTCAAAAAAAATTCGTCTAGGGTATGATTTAAAATATGGATTGATATGATAAAATTTTGTTTTTTATCTTTATTATAGGTTTTCTCCATGTTTTTTTTTGTATATTTGCACAATGATTCCACCAATATGGTTTCTTGAAATAAGTCGTATCAATATCAAACTGGGAAAAGAACCCATGAATCAAACGAAAGGGTAATTATAAATACATTTATTTTCCAAACAATTTAATCTAAAATACAACGTTTGAATTTTAAATGGGCTATTTGATCTTATTTTTTGTATTCTTACCATGTACTTTATTTTTTTTCTGTTTCAGAGATGAATTGAAAGTCATGATTGAAAAAGGTCTTATACCGAAATCGAAAATTAGTGAAAAAACAGTAAGTAGACACATATAGATGTTTAGTTATATAATTGTGTTTTTCGGACACTAAGCAAGTTAAATACTGAGACTTATTTTTAGGCGCCTGTATTTCAAAAGGTGAAGCTGTGCTGCATGATAGTAGGACTATACGAAAATGTTTCATTAACAATAGCATGACGTGTGTCTTATATCCATGCAATACGCATGATATGCTAAAACTCGAACAGTCTTTAAATTCCAATAGCGCGTATTTCACTAATAAGATTGCTCACTCTCAAGTTAAAGGATGAGATTTACCATAGTACCACTTTATTATTACTCTAAGAATCTTAAAAGCAACAATTAGAATGAAAAATTCCGAGTTGTACTATGAGAAGACTTAGACTTTAGCTTTTAGACTAACGGTTTTAACTATGTGCAAATCACTCACAAGGGAAGGGCCCCAAGTTATAAATCGTTTTTTCAATGAAATTAGGTGGACCACATGTCATTGATGATGCTGATTCAAAGCAAGAACATCGGATTTGTCCGTAGGCTTTTGTTGTTGACCGGTTTTCGGGGAACTAGATCGATCTTCAGAAAACCAGGGACCAAATATAGAAATTTTTTCTGAATCGACCATTTTTTAGTGGACACAAAACTGTCTGTATTCCATAAGCTTTCATTTTTCAAAATATCATTGAACGGTGCTATGATTTCTGCAAATTATCCGACTGCAATATTTTTTCATGGAAAAATGCTAATGCATCAAAACCAGCGTAACCACTCTTTTGGGAAATTCATCTACGCTGATGACTTTTGTTTTGAAACATTAAAACTTACGGAATATAGACAGTTTTGTGTCCTCTACAAAATGGCCATCTCAAAATAAAATTCTGGATTTGGTGTGTGGTTTTTCTGAAGATCCACTTTTCAGAAAACCGGTCAGCAAAAACCTAAGAGCAACTCCGATGTTCATATTTGGAAGCAGCGCCATCAATTACATACAATCCATCTAGTTTCATTGAAAAAATGATTTGCAACTTGGGACCGTTCCTTCATACGTCTCCTAATTGCCACTATAGCAGTTGTTATTTCCTCCCTATCATCTTTAGAAGAAAAAAAAGCTTTTTTCCAGTTAAAAAATAACATGGACAACCGTAATATTTATAACAATATGGAACTTAGCATAGTACTAGTTTGTGCATTTTGTAGATTAATTCATTTGATTTATTTGCAACAGTTTTACGAATGAAAAATAATAGGACGTTGGATGGATCATTGATTTCGTATTGTGTTGACACATCCTCTCCCTTAGTTCATTTTGGCTTTGTTTCTCGAGTAATTCACAAATGGTTTGAGTGATGTTTTTGTTTGATTCTGTGTTTCCTCCTTGGAAATCAATCTTCTTCCTACACAAATATCTACAATAAGCGTTTTAATTGTGTACACTTATATAAGTGGGTAATTTTGCTATGTTACATGGATACGAGACTTTTCTGATCGGAAACGTTTTTTTCTACATCTGAAATAATCTGAAACTCAGAGAATCGTTTTATCAGGGAAAAATCAGTATTCAAAAACAGCTGAGGCGGCCCTTGCCTACTCATATTTTCCATCAAAATATTTTTGGTTTCGAAATATAATTTCTTCTTGTTAATCTGAAAGCTACGTTTTTTCTCGCTACTTATAAGACTGAACTAAGAAACTTTTGCACTGAAACATAGTCCAAGGTGTCTAGATTCAGAATCTGTACCGTTTTTAAGTCTAGGGTTAATCCATTCAACAAAAACTGCTTTTATCCTAAAACATCGTTTTTTCAGGCTAGTATTTGGCTAAGTATTTGCTGGTGAATCATGAGATTTGAAAATAGTTATTCTTATGCCATTAAACCGAGCATATCCGAAAGTATGTGAGGCTGTATTTGAATCTCACTTTCGAAACCCTTCCAAAAGTCCACGTGATTATCCACTGTGCTTATATCGTAGGATAGAGGGCCAAATAAATAATCCACACAGAAGAATAGGAAACCCTTTGTTTTCTAACCGGTTCTGACAATTTTGTAAAGGAACATTTATTTACGCGCAACTTGCGGCAAAACGACTGTAAAATCTTTATTAATTATAGTTTTTGCTAATTTATTATCCGAGCTTATTTTCACCAATGGCAAAACCGATCCAGATATGACTTATTGTTTTGTTTGATTAAAATATTATACGTGTTTAGTGATAGAAATTTTAGAATTGATAAAATAGTAACAGCAAATGCTGTTACTATTTTATTAATTGATTCTTTTTGTTTAAATCTAGATATTTTAGTAGTGGACTAGATCCATCGTGCTCATACGACAATATTTTGATGATGAGATCAACCCTAAACAGATATATTTATGTCATTAAAGGGTCATCATTAATATTGGAATTGTTTTTACCAACATTGAACTGAACTACACGTCAATAAACTGGCGATGCTAAAATTCATTATAAACGTGTACATAAAATTATTTTTCGAACAAATTTTCTTCAGATTAACATGAAAATTGCCTGTTGAAGTATTCATAATCCCTATATATTAAAAATACTATATATGGTAAATTCAGATGAGGACTGACAATTTGAGTCTTGTTAAATAAAACGTTGCATGTCCTCATTCCTTTAAAGTCTCATTTCTAAACAAATACTCAAATACATTATCATGCATGTATATTGCTTGTGGCTAACTTTTTAATTTTTAGTTGCAATTAAGTCACGATGATTGGGTCGTCGCGATTGAAGTAACATTTCTTATGATTGTTGTTATCGGCCGTTGGGTATTACCAAAAGGCAAAATATCACGAAGTGCTTTGTCGCAACTATTACTCGTCTATCTCTCACTAGCATCTGATATGATTGATTTACTATCAATATTTCAAGAAGAAACTGTTCTAAAGAAAAATGAAATGGTTTATAGTACATTAGCCGTATTTTCTTGGAGTACATTTCAATTTAGTCTAAATTTAGTTGCTACACGTGGGCGAACATTTAACGTAGAACCAGTAGGAACTATGATCGATAATGAAAATAATGAAATGATACAACAGAAAAAAGAAGTACGTATTGAATTACAACGTCAAACAAATTCATTTAAAAAGCGACCAGCATCACCAGAATCAAAATGTCAATGGTGTCTAAATACATTTTTAAACAATGAATTATATTCAATATTCATTACAATTACCATGCAAGATTTACCATTTTTAGTGTTAAGATTAATAGCCGTTATTCATTTCAAAGTTCATTCGTATACAACATTATTTTTTACGTGTAAAAATGTTATCATATTACTATTGCAAATTTATCGACTATGGTCAATCTGTATTGAAAAAACTGATCAAACAGAACAAATTGATTTTGATGCTAATGGAGATTCTAAATCATATCTCATTGATTAATGATCAATCGATAAAAATGACATTCTATTGTTTGCAATTCATTCTTTGTATAGTGTAATTATATAACTTTACTTCATATCACTTCTAGTTGAATTAACAATGATTCTAATTAGAAAGAAAATCAATTTCGATAAATTGTAAACAGAACTAAGATAGTTTTAGTTAAGTTTTTCAATATTCACTCTATCCATAGAAATACAATGATGCAATCTGAATGATTTTTTATCTGAAAACTACAGTGTAAGGGCATGAGATTTTTGACAGCACTACTACGTTTGACTAGCGTGTTTGAAGAATGAAGCATGTAAAGCCCGAATGTCTATTGCTTTAAATAAAATATCCATATCGTCAAAACTTACTGACTAAATCCACGCCAAAGTTTCTTTAGATGGAAGAAATGGGTGTGGGGGATACTGTGGCCGTTGAATTGTCATTTATGATATTTATTATTCTGGGCAGATGGATATTGCCAAGAGGAAAAATAAGTCATAGTGCTTTGTCTCAACTACTACTGGTTTATTTATCACTAGCATCGGACATATTAGATTTGTTAACACTATTCAACGAAAAAGAAATTTATCTGAGCGGTATCATGGTGAAGGCTGTATTATCAACATTTTCTGTTTGTATGCTTCAATTTGCATTAAATTTGACAGCAACACGCGGTCGATCATTTCACGCTGAGTTTGATCAAACAGAAATTGAAATTGTTCAACCACCACCAAAGCAACGGCAAACAGGTAAATTATTATCAAAAATTATTGGAGCAAAACAGAAGCAACAACATCAATCATCCAGTTTAACACGACGGTTAAAAACAGCCAATTCAATAAATCAATTTGTCCAATTACCCATTTTACCAAGATTTAAATTTAATACTAAAACGACTAAACAAGGTGGCTTTGATAATGAAAAGAAAGATGAGAGTGTACCAGAAAGAAAGAATAATTATATGCGACGAGCACATCGACGATCATCATCGTTTTGTAATCAACCAAGCACAATTTTCGAAAATGTCGCTACTCAAGAGGAAGAGGAATTGCCAATGGCACCGAAATCGTTAGCTGCAACATCAATGACATCCGTTACAGGTAACAAATTATAAATTAAAATAACAAAATGTCATATATATTTTGTACTATTTCTAGGTGGATCAGATCCTCAGATATCCAGCAAACAAGAAAATAGATATATTGAAAATAATATAATCAAAAACAAAGCTCAAAAAGAGCAGAATCAAATTACCAATAAGGAATGTTCCACATTTCAAGCAGTTGATCCACCGTCGATACTCTCCTATAAAACTAATATGTTATATCCACCGACGGCTCATCGTCAATCTATTACAAGTTTAAACTCATTAAACAGCTATTACCGTACTTCAGGTGGTACTTCAGGTTTAAGTAAAATATCATCGAGAAAATCGATAGCCGATTCTGTTAAAGTATTTGTAAAACAACGGTCGAAGAAATTTCTTCGAAGTGAAATATGGTCGATCCTTGTAACAGTGTCATTCCAAGATGGTCCATTTTTTGCGATTCGATTAATTGCAATATTCGTATTCAAAGTAGAATCGTTCTTAACATACTTTTTTACATTTAAAAATTTACTAATTTTTGTTTTTCAAACATATCGCATTACAGCAATATGCGTAGAAAAAGATGAAAAAGAGCAAGAATTTGAAGAAAAACTCGACACGATGCGTCGAATGAGCGTAGCTGCAATTCAGTTAGGAATTCCTTTGAATCGAAAAATATAAAATTTCTTCTATATACAGTTGTTTTTTTGTTCTTGTTATATATGTTTATTACACATTTTAATAAAGAAAAAAGCATAGAGTACATGAACCTTGCGACCATAAAATCGCACTTCTGTATTAGTGCTAATAATTGCTAAGACCCCCAAAATACAGTGTTGTTCACGAATATTTTTTGATTTTAGCGAAAAGAGATGATGAAAATAGAAGCGTGCGGTTTGCTGTATTTCACAGAAGAGAATGGAAGATGTCTTTTCGTAAGGAAACTGAATTTCAAAATCCTTTTGTAAAATCGGACTTTAAGCGGATAGTTCTTCACAAATAAAAGTGACCATATAGTGATTTTTTTTCATGAGTAGATCGCCCAAAGTGTGTTCTTAAAAATGAGAGTCAAGCACCATCTTGATTCTCAGTGTTGGTATCGGATTCTCTTGGAGCGTCATGAGTAATGCCTTCAAAGCGCATAGAATATTTATAATCGACTACGTTGTATCTAGTTATGTAAGTCTTCAAACACTACGATTTCAAAAACACCTCGCCGGTGTTCCAAGAGAATCCGATATCACCACTGAAATTCAAGATGGTGCTTGACTCTCATTTTTAAGAACACACTTTGGACGATCTACTCACGAAAAAAAATCACTATATGGTCACTTTTATTTGTGAAGAACTATCCGCTTAAAGTCCGATTTTACAAAAGGATTTTGAAATTCATTTTCCTTACGAAAAGACATCTTCCATTCTCTTCTGTGAAATACAGAAAACCGCACGCTTCTATTTCCATCATCTCTTTTCGCTAAAAAGCTATTCAAAAATACTCGTCTACACTGTATTTTGAGGGCGATAGTAGTCTACCAACCCGCTCAAGTTTGAAGTTTCACGAATATGAACTGCCAGCCCTACTAATTTTTCATCAATTCGTTAAATCTGTGAAACAAATTCTCAAAAAGGAGAATACGTTCAAAAATATCAACAGTATGGATTTAATCAAAATAGATAATTAAATTTCGATGTAGAGGATCTTTTCTGTATTTTGATTAGTCGAGTCTGGATGTATCGAAATGGTCGACGACAGAAAAGGTGGTTGCTCTATATTTCCAACAAGCGTATTGCTATTTGCAGACTTTCCTAGAAGAATTTCAATTCCAAAAGATAAAAACTCGCCATGTCAACACTCTATGTTGGGCATTTGAATCCTCGTATGCTAAAGCGTGATATAGAAAAGTTATTCGAATCATATGGTGAAATAAAACAAGTTCATTTTAAAGGTAACTTATTTCATACGTTTCGAAATTATACTATAATACAATCATTCTTGGCATATTTTTTTACGTTTTAGGGGCATATGCGTTCGTTGATTTTTATGATGGCTATCAAGCCTGTCAATGTGCACACAATTTGAATGGAAAAACTGTGCTCGGTGAAAGAATAACTGTTGAACATGTGCATGGCAGTGCAGGTATCTGTTACGCCGATCGAGATCGTTTGCCAAGTCATGGCAGTTCTCCACCAATTTCGTCATCACATCGGTCATCAGCCAACGGCCGTAGCCATTATTCACCAGAACGAGAGAGAGAACGAGATCGAAATTATAAATGTTCATCACCCACATTTAATAACAAACGCACATCTTCGTCATCCAAACAACGACATCGTGAAAGTTCAAGAGAAAGAAAAGTTTACTCAAGTTCCACTGTTCGTTCATCATCTTCTCAAAAACCGGCGTGGATAGATAAATATGGACTACCAACAAGAACCCCATTTAGAATTGTTGTTAGAAATCTTTCTCGACGAGTCTCATGGCAGGTATGTAGACTTCAATTATATGATTTAATAAACTACAAACTATTCTTGATTTATTTTAGGATTTAAAAGATTTAATGAGAGAAGCAGGAGAGGTCACCTATGCTGATGCTCATCGTCGCAGTGCTCATGAAGCGTACGTAAAATTTCTCTTCACTAACAGTTAATAATACCTGTTTTGTTTATTTAGATTTGTTGAATTTATATCGTATGAAGATATGCAAAAAGCGATTAAACGTTTTGATCGTACAAATTTAAAAGGCAGAGTTATACGCGTTAGTCAAGATCGAGAGAAGTGAGTGAAAGTTATTGTTTCATTACGTTAAAAAATGAAACAATTTTTCTTTAACTTCTTTTGTCTACTTTCTTGTTTTGTTTCAAGCACTCATCCTAAATCCTCATCTGATTCTCCACAACGTGAACCTCGTCACACTCGAAATACTCGTTCATCATCGTCTAATCGTCACGAAGGTATCGATGAAGATGATGTTCGTCGTTCACCAACAAAAAATTTAAAACGTTCTCACGATGATAGTGGCTCTATTTCAAATGACAGAAAACGTCGAACAATAGAGAAAGAGAAAAAATCGTCCACAAGTAAAAAGTCAACAAGACGTCAGTCGATTTCTTCTCGTTCATCTCGATCGTTTAACGATAATGATGAATATTTGGATAATGATAAAATTGGTGCAGATGATGAATTAGATGAATCAACTGATCGTCGTACATTTAGTCGAAGTATCCATGATGAACATCAACGAATTCATGCTGAAGCACAGCGAGATGAAAAGAAAAAGAAATAAAATATTAACTAGTACAACTCACTAAGACAATGTCTCATATCTTCATTTCTTCTTTCATTTTAGTTTTTTGTGTATGGTAAAAACAACAACATTTTGTTTAGTTCGTAGCTGTATAACTTTCTTTGTTTGTTTATGTAAATAACGTCTTTTGCGTTGTTGAGAGGCATTTTTGTGTATGTGACGACAAAGATGCAAAATATTATAAATCACGATAAAAAGATTACCGTCGTTAATAGAATAGTAGAAAATACTTTTACTTTGTGTGTGTGAGTGTGTGTGTGTGTGTATGTGTACCGGTGTCGATCAGTTTTGCTGAATCATTAGGCAAGTATGTTCAATTTATGATAGATAAATTTTTACTAGTTATGACATAAAAGTTTATTAAATAGAAATAATGTAGATGCGTTTTCCTTAATTTTGGATAGTAAATAGAAATAGTTTACAACGTTTTCCATCAGTCCATTATTCTTTTATTTCTCAATGGAATTCGCATCCCATTTATCAGGGCACAAATACCTCTTAATCAGCTTTAATTTCAAAACAAAAAAAAAAATAACATAACATTTTTTCACGATTGTATCTGTACGCTTTGGGTTTTGATCTGGATGAAAAACACGATCTGTCTACTGTAAGGGTGTAATAACTGATTTTAACTTTTTGACTAATGAATTCGATTTGATCTGGAAATTTCACAATAACTAGCGTTTTTGTGTTAAATTTTAGAAGTATATTTGTGTGTACACATTTGTTTGAAGTAACAGAGCTCTGTTCGTTTTCGATTCTATAAAAACTAATGATGACACAATAGTTTTGTTACTAGTTTCTTATTTATATTTTTCAGTTCATTCATTGTGTCTGAAAAAAATAGTTCATCGTATTTGTTTCTTTTCTTCGATTCTTCGTTCATTCAGTCAATTCATATTGAAAATTCTGAACTTTTTTTCTTTGTTGGAGTGAAGTCGTCACTTCTGTATCGTAGACAAACTGAAAGATCGATAAAGGACATGCATTTAAACAAAACGATAGAGAATGAAAGATAAAACTGGATGTAAATTTTATCAATATCTGTTGTGTGTGATGTGCGTTGTTTGCTTGTTTTTTTCATTGTTATATATATATATTTTTTTTTTGTTTTGCTACTTTGAATGAAAGTAAAGAAGAACAAAAATAGTACATTTGTCCAAAATAATATCTAAAATATTTTTTTTGAAATAATAGTTCAGTGGTGAACAAAGATATTTCGTTTACTTATTAATGTTCGACGATATGTTTTAGATGCGCATATTTTGCCACTATATCTGGCAGCACAATTATCGTATCTCGCTTTTTCTAGTCGTCATTTGGCTTTATACTAGTAGGTAGAATTGTGTTTTTATATTTCATTCTATTCGTTAATCTGTTTCTGTTTAGGTGGTGCTATTGATCAGAATCAGCACGATCGGAAAAAGAAAGAAGATGGAGAAGGAGTATCAGCAACAGTTTCTCAGGTAATTTTTTCTATCGAATATTTAAACTAATAAATAATTTATATACTTTTATTTTAGCATAAATCAGATAAACAAGAACCAAAACAGACATTCCTCCACACACCATCATCTAACAGTTTAGATGATGTAACAGTGACAAATGAAGATGAGAATAGCAATAATAACAATAAATATGATAGTGATGATGATGAAGATGAAGATGAAGATTTAACAGCAAGTTTCAATGAATTGTTGAGTAAAAACAAACAATTTAAAGATACCAGTAGAAGTGGTGTGGATAATGATAATAGTGCGAAAGAAAAGAATAGAGCCGATGTATTAAACAACGTACAAGTAATTAAAATACAAATTGAAACGGATGAGGATGGCACAGTTACGACAACAACAACAACAGAAGCATCTCCCAATGATATGACAACGGACTCTGCTGATACAGCTGAAAAAAGAAATGATGAGCGAAAAGCGAATTCCAGTGAGTATTTGTTAATGGTTATTAGAGGCTGTAGTTCAACTATATTTCTTATTAATGCTTTATCGATTAGTAATATGGTTTCTTAGAATAAAAGTTGTTTTTTATTTAGTCAATAAGGACGAAGGAGATGGTACTGAAAATTTTCAATCAGACATAGATTCGTCAAAATACGAGCGAGAACACACTGATCAGACAAGTAGCAATGTTAAGCACACAAGTACAACAGCAGCGACCGAAGAATTGGAAGAAGATGATGATAACGAGCAAAATGAACCAATAACACCAGAACTGGAATTAGCCCAAAACTTTTATAATCAAGCAATGAAACTAATCAATGGAACAAAAAGGCACTATGATGAGTAAGTGTGCAATCATTACTGTACGCCGTTGATCATTATATATTCTTTTTTATGAACACTAGAGCGTACAAATTGTTTTTGAAAGCAGCTGATCTTGGTAGTATTGAAGCAAAAGAAGAATTGGCAATGGCACATCTGATAGGTGAACATTTACTATTAAATTTCACTCGTGCTAGATTATATTTTGAGGAAGGTATTCTTCAAGGATCACCAAGATCTCATTTTGTAAGTCTATTGAACAAAATCTTTGAATTAATTATTCAAATTAAAAATTTTTTCTATATAGGGTCTTTCATTTATGCATAGTGTTGGTTTAATCGCTAATGCGAGTATTCCAAAGGTTAGTAGCGCAAAAAAAGAAGTGATGTTTTGTTTATATTTATTTGTTCTCGTTAGGCATTAATTTATTTGACATTTTCCGCTATTGATGGTGATAGTTTCGGTCAAATGGCTTTAGTAAGTTTATCTCACGTTGCCATAAATTATAATATTATTTTTTATTTGTATTCTAGGGCTATCGATACTGGAGATCAGTAGGCGTTTATCATAGCTGTGAATCAGCCTTACTTTATTATAAACAAGTAGCAACAGAAGGTAAAGTTAGATGAGAATATTTGTTTTTTTTTAATTTTTTTTTCTATTTATACCATTATATCTTTTTGTTATATCTTTTTTTTATATTGTAGTGGCAAGTAAAATTACTTCATCTAGTGGCCAATTGATTCAAAGGATACGTTTATATGATGAAGAAGAAAATCCTAGTCAAAATAATATAATGGTCGATGATGATCTCCTTCAATACTATCAATTACTGGCTGATAGGGGAGACATACAAGCTCAGGTACTAATTTTTTTAATATTATAATTTCACACTAATATTAACTTTTAAAAATTTAAATTATTAAGTATAATTCTTATTTAGTATGGACTAGGTCAATTATATTATTTACGAGATACGGCATTCGATAGAGCTTTGCATTATTTTCGTTTGGCAGCTGAAGGTGGCAATTCAAATGCAATGGCTTATTTAGGAAAATTATATTCTGAAAAAAATGACTATATTAAACAAAATAATATAACAGCATTAAATTATTTTCAAAAATCGGCGGAAAAAAATAATCCCATGGGACAAGCCGGTGTTGGTACAATGTATTATCATGGAGCTGGCGTTGAAAAAAATTTTGAAAAAGCATTAAAATATTTTCAATTATCATCTGATCAAGGTTATGCTGAAGGACAGCTAATGTTAGGGTATGTAAATTTAAAAAGTGTTTTTTATTATGTGATTGTTAGTCTTATAAGAATAATGTTTTCATTTTGTTCAGGATCATGTATTATAATGGTGAAGGTGTAAAACGTGATTATAAAATGGCCGTAAAATATTTTAGTTCAGCCTCTCAGTCGGGTCATGCTCTCGGTTATTACAATTTAGCTCAAATGCATTCAAGCGGAACCGGTGTTCTTCGTTCATGTACAACAGCTGTTGAACTATTTAAAAATGTAGCTGAACGAGGTCGATGGTCATCGATATTTATTGAAGCTTATAATTTATATAAACAAGGACATATTGATCAAGCATTAGGAAAATATTTACTTTTAGCTGAATTAGGCTACGAGATAGCACAATCAAATGTTGCCTATATTCTTGATCAATCTCAAATTACTATGTATCCATCTAAGAGTGAACGATATCGTCGAGCATTAATCTATTGGAATCGTGCAGCTATACAAGGATTTCATGCTGCTCGAGTTAAATTAGGTGATTATTACTTTTATGGTTATGGTACAGAAAAAAGTTATGAAACAGCCGCTACACATTATAAACATGCCAGTGATCATAGTCAAAATCCACAAGCAATGTTCAATTTAGCTTATATGCATGAAAAAGGTTTAGGACTTAAAAAGGTACTCTATTATATAAATGATGAAGCAATCATTCAATTTATCATATAAGTATGTCGTTTTTGATTCAAGGATATTCATTTGGCAAAACGATTTTATGATTTGGCAGCTGAAACAAGTAGTGATGCACAATTACCAGTCAATATTGTTTTATTCAAAATACATTTAGAATTATTATGGGAAAAATGGAAAGGGGTATGTTAGCTATTTCATTTTTAAAAACTTAATTTATAATTTTTTCCATGTTTTTTTTTTAGTATTCAAAATCGTTATTCCACTTTGATTCTATCTCACTGCTAAATTCTTATTGGGATGTATATTTGATGGTGGTGCTAGGTGTTTTAATTGGCTTTTTGTATACAATACGTCGACAAAGAGCGAACAGACCATTTATAATAAATGATCAGCCACATGTCGTTCAGCCACCACCAGCTCAGCCTCCTTTAGTTCAAAACATGGGACAGTGATAATTTCAATTTTTTTTTTCTTCAAATATATTGTTATTGTTGTTGTTGTTGTTGTTGCTCTTCGTATTTTTGCCACTTAAAATTTATTAACACTATTTTTTTACTTTGCTTGTGTTTGTTTTGTATCGTTCATTTCTATTTTTAAACTTTCTTTTATGTAAACATGAGTATGAAGCTAAAAATGAGTTAAGGCAAGAAAATTAGATTGAGAGTGTCATTTAGAAGTATCTCGATTTTTACTCTCTTTGTTTTTGTTTTGTTTTTCGACTTTATTTCCATTTTAACTTTGTTATTTTTGTTCACTAAATATATGTACAAACAACAAGAACACATGCCGTTATTCTTGTTTTGTTTCTTTGACACGGCAATGTTACTGATGAACATTATTGCCATGTTTTCGTGCGAAATAATTTCATGAGCGTTTGTTCACTGTTAATGTCTGAGTATATCAGATTCATATTTTGAAGTATAGAAATAAATAAACATTTTAAAAGCTATCTATATTCTTTATCTGTTCTGTCCTATGTTCTATTACTTGTTATTTATCATTGTCAATTTCAACTTCAGTCTATTTATTAATATTATATTACTTTCTAAAATCAAATTTTTAATTGTTCCTGAACAATATTTTACATTGCCATCATCAACTTTTGAACACCCATATTGGTCGTTTTTTTCTAATCGTGCACTTAGTCCATAACCAGAACTATGTAATTGCACATAGTATAATAAAAATAGTTGTTGTCCAGATAGCGAAATACAATTGATTTTCTCTCAGATATAATTTAATTATATTTTCTTCTTTACAGTTACATTAAT